TTTTTATCACCAACCACTCAATAAAGGTAATCTTTATACCACCAACCTATCAATAAAGGAAATCTTTACCGCCAACAGCAATGAAGGTAATTTCTATCACCTGCCCATCAATAAGGGTAACTTTGCCTCCAACCGATCAATAAACACAATCTTTAACACCAAATAATCAATAAAGGTAATCTTTACCACCAAACGATCAATAAAGGTAATCTTTATCACCAACAGATCAATAAGGGTAATCCTTAACAACTACCTATCAATAAAAGTAATCTTTACCACCAAACGATCAATAAAGGTAATCTTTATCACCAACAGATCAATAAGGGTAATCCTCAACAACTACCTATCAATAAAGGTAATCTTTACAGCCAAACGACCAATAAGGGTAACTTTACTACCAAACGATCAATAAGGGTGATCTTTACCACCAACCGATCAATAAGGGTGATCTTTACCACCAACTGATCAATAAGGGTAACCTTTACCACCACCGATCAATAAGGGTGATCTTTACCACCAACTTCTCAATAAAGGTAATCATTACCACCGACCGATCAATAAAGGTAATCATTACCACGAACCGATCAATAAGGGTAATCTTTACCACCGAACAATCGATTAACGTAATCTTTACCACAACCTGATTGATAACGGTAATCTTTACCACGAACCTATCAATTAAGGTAATCTTAACCACCAACCAGTCAATAGGNATCAATAAGGTGATCTTTACCACCAACTGCTCAATAAAGGTAATCATTACCACCAACCGATCAATAAGGGTGATCTTTACCACCGACCGATCAATAAAGGTGATCTTTACCACCAACTGATCAATAAGGTGATCTTTACCACCAACCGCTCAATAAAGGTAATCATTACCACCAACCGATAAATAAAGGTAATCATTACCATGAACCGATCAATAAAGGTAATCTTTACCACCGAACAATCGATTAACGTAATCTTTACCACAACCTGATTGATAACGGTAATCTTTACCACGAACCTATCAATTAAGGTAATCTTAACCACCAACCAGTCAATAGGGGTTATCCTCACAACCAACTGATCAATAAGGGTAACTTTACCACCAACTGATCAAAGAGGGTATTCTTTAACTTCAACCGATCAATAAAGGGAACTTTACCACCACCCGATTAAAATTGTAGTCTACCACCAACCAATCAATAAGGGTAGTTTTACCACCAAGCAATCAATAAAGGTAATCTTCACCTCCAACAGATTAAAAGAGGTAGCTTTACCCCCACCCGATCAAAATAGGTAGTCTACCACCAACCAATCAAGAAGGGTAACTTTGCCACTAACGAATCAATAAAGGTGATCTTTACGACCTACGCATCAATAACCGTAACCACATTACCAACTGATCGATAAGGGTAACTTTACCACTAACCGATCAAATAAGGGTAATCTTGGCCACCAACCGATCTATCTGGCTAAACTTTACTACCATCCAATCAATAAAAATAATCTTTACCATTAACTGATTAATAAGGTAATCTTTACCACCAACCAATCAATAAGAGTGATCTCTACCACCAGCCAATCAATAACGATAATCTTTGCCAAAAAACCGATTAATAAGGGTAATCTTTACCACCAACTGATCAATAAGGGTAATATTTACCACCAACTGAACNGTAACTTTCCCAGCAACTGATCAAAGAGGGTATTCTTTAACTTCAACCGATCAATAAAGGGAACTTTACCTCCACCCGATTAAAAGGGTAGTCTACCACCAACCAATCAATAAGGGTAGCTTTACCACCAACTAATCAATAAAGGTGATCTTCACCTCCAACTGATCAAGAGGTAGCTTTACTCCCACCCGATCAAGATAGGTAGTCTACCACCAACCAATCGAGAAGGATAACTTTGCCACCAACCAATCAATAAAGGTGATCTTTACGACCTACCCATCAATAACGGTAACCATATTACCAACTGATCGATAAGGGTAACTTTACCACTAACCGATCAATAATGGTAATCTTGGCCACCAACCGATCTATCTGGGTAAACTTTATTACCATCCAATCAATAAAAATAATCTCTACCATTAACTGATTAATAAGGTAATCTTCACCACCAACCGATCAATAAGCTTAATCTTTACCACCAACCGATCAATAAGCTTAATGTTTACCAGTCCAACCAATCACTGAGGGTAATCTTTACCACCAACCAATCAATAAGTGTAATCTATACCACCAGCCAATCAATGACGGTAATCTTTCCCAAAAACCGATTAATAAGGGTAATCTTTACCACCAACTGATCAATAAGGGTAATATTTACCGCCAACTGAACAATAAGGTAATGTTCAAATCAATTAGGGTATTCTTTGCTGCCGTCAATTCAATAAGGGTAATCTTTACTACCAGCTGATCAATAAGGGGATAAATCCTTACCTTCAACCAATCAATAAGGGTATTTTTCACCACGAACCATTCAATAAGGGTATTCGTTACCACCAACCGATTATTTAGGGTAATCTTTATTACCAAGAGATCTATAAACATAGCATATCGATAGGGCCGGTAGGCCTGCTTCGACCATGATAGCTATATGGGTAATTTGTACCACCAACCGTTGAAGGAGGGTTATCTTTACTGGCA